ATATGAGGAGTTCTGTAGTACAGATGTTACTTACATGGTACATACTTGATGTTAGATGACAAAGGGAGGATTTGTTTTCATTTATTTGAAGAATTTTCTGTAGTCTGCAATTTTAAACTTGTTCTTAATCAAAACCAACTGATAATTACACTATTCAAAGCCCGATTTCTAAAATTAGAAAAATACTGACTAATGTATTTTCTGGTTTTAAGTTGATATTAACTTTCCCTCCAGGACACTGCGACTTGATTGGGTTTTCCAATACACTGTTTTCTACCTTTTTTGATTTGCGGACCTCGGTAGATTATTTTTTTTTCCCAGTTAAATTGAGACCCTTTTGAAACCTGTGTCCTTAGGTTGCTGCATAGCGTGTATAAACTTGCTGTTCTTGGGCACTGTGAGGGCTCACAAATCAGAAGCTGAAAAACAGTCCTTAAATTTTGTCTTGCAAAAACTGTATGTGATGTCACATAAATGCAAAGGCCTTGTCAGAAGGACAGTATAAAATTCAGACACATGTATTATCCAGTATATTTTTGGAAGAGGGTTTATTTCACTTTTTTTAATAGTCATTAATTTCTCCCAAATGTTGAGATAAATTAATATCAACAGAAGTGTTAACTTGTCTGATGGAAATAAAGACCACTACTGTTTTGACTGTTCTAATGTATCTGTGGAATTCATTTCTTGAAATCGATGATGTGAAATACATAACACTGTTTTGCCACATGAGTAGTTATTTCCATGATAATTCTTTGGTTCTTGATTTTTTTTTTTTTTTTTTTTTTACTCTTCATTATATTGCTTTGGTCTTTGAAGCTTTTCGCCTGCTTGAAGTCGACTCTTTCATAGGCTGTAAACTACAACATGAAACTGATAGCATGTTGTAGTTGATATTTCATCTAGCGTTGACCTTGAGGTAAGTGGGGATAGTTCTGCTCAGTGCCTCCTTTATCTCACGTTAAAAATTAAACTTTCATTAAGCTTATTTGCTAAGTTTTGCCTCCAACTAAAGATTGGTTTATTTGATGGGTTTTTTTAAGGAATACTTCAGAATGTTAATAGGTAGCTGCACTTCTTAAGTTAAACAGTAGAGGGAAGCATAACATCGACAATGTTAATATGCTTTGCTAAAGCACTGGAAGTCGGAGCAGTTTGTGGGGTTGGCTGGTTTGTTTCCGAGCAAGATTCCATCTTTTTCTCCATGGTCAATTTTTGAAGGGAATTTGATTTGGGAATTTCTGTCACTGAGGCATTCTTGCAGTTTTCGCATTTATAGTTACGCGAAGAGGGAATATAATGTTAAGTAATCAAATATGAAATAGCATTTCTTTTTAAGATTAAAGTCCTCTAGTCCTCAAAAAGTAATTTTGAAATCCTAGCAAGTCATTCAGGAAAATATATATGGACTGTGCAAGGTGCACAAACTGAGGCAGTGTGGTTGAAGAAGGAAAGCACAGTTCTGATAGCCCTAACATTAGCTGTAATATGCCAGGGACTGTCAGGTAAGTCGATGACAGCAGTCCTAAGAAAAGCACAAAATAAAACTTTTTAACTTCAAAGTGCTGATTTGAAATTAAAAATTTTCAATAGGCAAGTTGCTGTAGTTGAAAGACTGGAAAAAATACTCTCAAATGCACAAATGAGTACATTTGTTTGGGGAAAATATTAGCAAATTAATAGGATGAAGAGTTACAAGAATTCACTAAGTAGGAGAAATTAGACCAAAAAAAACCCCTCAAACAAATAAAACCCAGTTTAAGTTAAATTCTTCCTTTCCCAAGGAAGAAAAGCCTACTGCAACAGTAGTTCTTTGTTACCTTGAAATCTACAGTTGACTTTTTTTTTCCCCTCCTCCTTCCCCACCAGCACAATCATTTGAATCTGCTAGTCCTGTAATTTGCTGCTTTACCTTTAGACTCTGCCTGCCTTCCCTAATGCTAATGTTTGTTTTTCTCCCATGTGTTAAGGTGGATGAATGACTGTGATTGATTTCTAGCACTGTTCCAATACTTTTGCCATAGGGGAGCACTTTGGGCCTGTTACAGTAGCATCACTGTTGTCTTGAATTTTTCTGATTGTATTTTGTATCCAGTAGCTATCTGCAGTCATCTGATGGGAGGGTTCTTTGCCCCACTGCATCATCCAGAGGCATCTAAAGAGCCTGAAAACAGTTTCACCCCACAACATAGATGATCCTCTACTGTGACTGGTACAAAGTAGAAATTTGAGCAAGCAGAGCTCAATGGTACCACTACCGAAGGGTTGTATTGAGAATCTGGAAATATCCAGATCCTTGGGAATGGTGAGGGTGAAGGAGCAGGCTTCACTAAGGAAGATCGAGTTTGCAGATTTAGTATGTATTCAAAGCACTTGTTTTGGTATAAATTGATGAGATATCTTAAGAAGTTAGGCCGTGTTAATCTGGCTTCTCTTCTGAAACAAGGTAAGTTGGAACAGAATGAGTGGGATTCCTTGCTCTCTCTTGTGCCAAGGTATGCTTCTTTTGGACTCGGAATATTTGTTTTTCTTGAAACACATGCTACTCTTCTCATTCTCTTACTTCTGCCAAGAAACTCTGATTTTTAATGGTCTTGACAAAAAGCCTAATTACCTCCTGTAGGAAGAAATTCTATGTTTTACAGTAAATTTTGGGACTAAATTATTTAGGAAAAGTTGCTAATGCTGGCTGAAGAGCGAGATATGACTAAGATAAAGTATTTACTTGATCAGATTTGATAGGGAAGACCAGCATGGGGTGCACTGGGACAATGTAGAGCATCTAACTTATAGGACAAGTGGGGTGTTTGCAGTGCATTCCAACCTCAGTAAAGCTATCCTGGTGTTTCGCTGTTGTCAGTGCTTATGTTCCTGTTAAGACTGTCACAAGATACTTGCAAGTGATTTTTGGCAGGACACGGCAGAATTTTAGAGATGGGAAACCATATGGGGTTGAACCAGTGACAAAATAAACATACGTGATTGTTTCCAGTCAAATGAGTTCTGCTGGGATCTGTTTTTAAAGTACAAGGTGTCTTTGAATTTGGTATTAAATACAGGCTGTGAAAAAGCCCACAGGCTGTTTTGTGTCTTGCTACCTCCCACTACCTGGGAGGTAGAGAGGACATCTCATCTCTAGGATGTCCTGAAAAAGAAGTGCTTGTTTAAACCTAAAAAAATTAATCAGGTTTCTGATTCAGTATTCTGATACTGATGGGAACTTACTAGTTGCATGATTATGTAGGAGCTGTGCAATAAGAGTCTGTTCTTCAAACCTCCCCCTGCCACCTACCCCAAAAATCTCAAGCACTAAATAAAAATTGTGGTTCTAATTGTAAAAGTGGGAGAACCTGCCAGCTGCCTTGGGTGTTGAGATTTGCCTCAAGTAAGAGGAGGTACTGGCACTTGGAGAAAGGGAAGAGAAATGAGTGAGAAAAGCAGAGGCTCACAAGAGGGGAAGCTGCTGAGCCTGGGGAAGAGAAATGACTTGGAAAAGCAGAGGCTCACAAGAGGGGAAGCTGCTGAGCCTGGGGAAGAGGCATAGCAGCATCACCTTTAGAGGTTTCTGGGGGTGATGTGAACAAGGTGGGAAGGGCACTGCAGGGTAAACAATGCACTAGCTGTTTGTTAGTGCAACCAGTGAGAGACGGGTGGCAGAGGTGGGGAGGCCAGGTTGTTTGACAGAACAGCGGGAGTTGTCCTAATTCAGCAGTTAATGGTTACTACTTGGGTCGAGCACTCTGTGTAAAGTACCTAGAGACCTGTGCTGAAACGTTAGGTTTCTATCTAGATGCAGATGTGCTCTCAATGTGGGAAATAGCCTGGTCTCAATCGTTGCTTGTGTCAGTACGTGAGACACACAGTGGGGGGATGTACTGGCCTCCAAATGTTTTTAATTATTTTTTTCCATCAGAACCAGCTTTATTGTATTGGCAGAGACAGAAGCCTTAAGCAGCTTGCTCAATGTGTGCAGCTGTGCAAAGCAGCTGGTTGCAGCAAGGGGTCAGCAGCCTCCTGCGGCTTCCCCCCGAACTGCTTCCCAATGGCAGGGTGATGCAGGCAGCAGGGACCCCCAGCACAGCGCCTCGGTCCCGCCTGCTGGATTCCTAAACACTGTAGGTGCAACTATGAAACACCAAGTTAAAGATATGATTTGAGGCAATGAAGGAAGGCAAGCAAGCAGCCTAAAACAGCATCATGTTGTACTTAAAACAGCAGTGTTACTCCGTGCTCTTACTTGGGTTTGCTTATTTTGTTGTGATGATCATGGCACTTCCAGCTCCAGAAGTGTTTTTCCAGGTTGACAGCTTCACTGTTTTCCAGCTTTATGGATGGATGACCCATCCATTTCTCTGCAAACTTGAAAGTCTGAGCAAATCTGAACTGTATCTAGAACACAGCAGAAGGTACCCTCTAACAAATGCTGTGATGTACCAAAGCAGCCTTGGCAATGTGTGCACAGAGTTGAGTTTACCCCTGTCATAGAGATCTCTATTTATGCCCATCCATGCGAATGTGACCTCAGCTAACCCTATTGCCACTTTCTCAC